GTACCAAAATGGAACCAACTTCCACCTTATTCCTATTTTGGGGAATCAACTTTCAAAATCGTCATTTAAGGGTCTCTATCAAACTTTTTGTTTATTTAAGGGTCTGGTTGACCTGTTAATGCTGACATCATCGAGATTTTTTGCCAACAAAGATATTCCACGTCATATTAATTTTTTATTTTAAAACTAATATTTCATGTCATATTTAAAATTATAAAAAAATAACTAAAATTCTTTTTTTTTTCAAAAATTATTGCAATAAAATCTATTTTTCATTCCAAATCTCTTTTTTAATTTAAAATTCAGATATCAAATTGAATTTTTTTTCAAAAAAAAATCCAAATTACCAAAAATAAAAATCATTTTTTACCAATGCAATAAAAAATTAATTAATTTTACTAGTTTTTTCTATTAAATTAATTTTTTATTGTATTAGTAAAAAACGATTTTTATTTGGATAATTTAGATTTTTTTTGAATTTTTTTTCAATTTGATATCTGAATTTTAAATAAAAAAACGATATTTGGAATGAAAAATAAATTTTATTGTAATAATTTAAAAAAATTAGTTATTTTTTTTATAATTATTTTGCAATTTTAAATATGACGTGAAATATTAGTTTTAAAATAAAAAGTTAACATGACATGAAATATCTTAGTTGACAAAAAATCTGGATGATGTCAGCATTAACAGGTCAACCAGACCCTTAAATAAATAAAAAGTTTGATAGAGATTCTTAAATGACGATTTTAAAAGTTGGTTTCTTAAAATAAAAATAAAGTAAAAGTTGGTTTCATTTTAATACAATTTTCTCAATTACAAATTACAAATATTTTATATGTTATGTTTAGTAGCTTTTTTTGTTTTTGTTTTTTTGAATTTGTTAATTACAGTGATAACTTTATTACAAGATTACAAATATGATTTATTTTAAATTAAAAACAACACTAAATTTAATATAATATATCAACTAAATATTAAAAACTTATAGTAAATTATGGATTTGGTTTCTAGACTTTGTTTATTACAAAAAAACTCCTAAAAAGTTTGCATTTTGTTAATTGGTCCTTGATCCTACCCTAATATCTGATATGTTTTTCTATTAATTATCAGATGCAAATAGTTATTTCAGAAAAATAAACAAAAACTACCTTAAACCTGTTACATTTCTTATTTTCTCTTTCTCTTTTTTCTCACTTTCGTTGCGACTCCACTTACATCATTCTGCATATTTATCATGACTCTGACTCCCTTTGCATTCCCCAATAACATTTGTGCCACACGTAAGATTCCCTAAGTCACTTATGGGGTGTTTGGTTCACATAATGGAATTTGATAGAATTGGAATCCATCAAAGGAATTTGACTTTGAAGGAATTGGAATGGAATTTGATGGAATTTGACCATGCATTTGGTTGGTAGGAATTGGAATGAAATCTCTCAATAGAATTGGAACAATCGTCTTTGTTTGRACCATCCCACATATCGCCCCACCCACACCCTACCAACCATTATGTCACTACTATCGTCGTCACAACTATCACCCCGCCCCAACCCCACCCAAGCCCGCCCCCACCACTCCCGCCCCGCCCCACAATAGGTGGGGTTGTTAGAGGTAGGCAGGGTGGGGCGAGGCATTGGGGATGGGGTTAGTGGGTGGCAGGTAAAGACTATAGTGGTAGGATGGTGGTTAGTGGTGGGTTGGAGTAGGGTGTGGGTGGGGGGTGGTAGATGTGACGATGATAGTGGTGAGATAGTGGTCGGGTGGCTGGGGTCTGAGAGTGCGTGGGCATAATGACAACAATAGTGGCATGATATTTAATGGTGGGTTGGAGTAGGGTTAGGGTGGGGGTGGGGGTGGGTGGGGTAGGTGGTAGATGTAACGATGATAGTGGTGAGATAGTGGTCGGGTGGCTGGGGCCTGGGAGTGCGTAGGTATAATGACAACAATAGTGGCATGGTATTTAGTGGTGGGTTGGGGTTGGGGTTGGGGTTGGGGTTGGGGTCGGGTAGGTTGCGAGTGAGTGGCGGTTATGAAAGTGACAATAGTGGTGAGGGGTGGGGTAGTGGGGATGGGTGGCAGTTATGACGATGACAGTGGTAGGATGGTGGTCGGGTGGCTGGGAGTGGATGGGTATAACAACGACAATAGTGGCATGGTGGTTAGTGGTGGGGTGGAGTAGGGTGAGGGTGAGTGGCAGCTGTGATAGCGACAATAATGGTGTGGTGGTGGGGGTTAGGTTAGGGGCGTGACAATAACGATAATAGCATGGTCGTAGCAAGGATGTGCAGTGAGTGACCGGGGGTGGGTAGGTGTGATGACAACAATAATGGCATGGTGGTTAGTGGTGGGGTAGGGTGGGTGGTGGTGACATTAGTGGTGTGGTGGTGGTAGTAGGGGGTTAGGGGTGGGGCATCACAAACAGTAGTAGCATGGTCGTTATGGGTGTTGATGGAATTCAATTCYTTCCATTATGCTAAGGAATGATGAATTCCTTAACTTGTGGAATTCATTGGAATTTGAAGGATTCCATCCATTTCAAGATATGAACCAAACAAAGGAATGGAATTTGGTCAAAGGAATTTATCATTCCAATTCCATCAAATTCCTTCGAATTTCGCGAACCAAACGGCCCCTTAGTTCCTACATTAGCTCGCACTGCGTAAGAGCTGCGAAAACCCCTTGCTCAGAACATATAGATATTGCAACTATTAATGACATGAATGTCAAGTTATGAGATGTGGGATTCCTTTAGGACTCTAACACATATTCTATCTCTTGAGCAGTATGTGTATGTTCTTTTATTGTTTCTTTTGCTTGTGATTTTAAGGTTTATTGTAAGTTATTGAGTTACGGTCCCTATCACAAAGTTTTAAGGAATGAAATTGTTAAATGACGATTTTAATTTTATTTTACATTGTTTATTTTTCTGAATGAATTTGTATACGTTTGTTCCTAATTTCCTTTAAAAAATGTTAAAATATAAGAAAAACGATGAAACGACGAAACTTCCTGATCCAAAACAAGCCAAAAGGACCAATTATATAATTTATGCCACTTTAAATGAAATTTTAAGTTGCCATGTAATACTTTTTAGCTTGTTCCCACATTGGTTATGTAATAAATTTATGGTCACTTTATAAATCGCGCTTGTAGAGCAAATGCCACCAGACTTGGTAGCGCTTGTCTGGGACTCAAGTGAGGGTATTAAAGGTGGTTGGATTGTGACCGAGCTCACTTAGATTGGTTCTGTTGGTGTGTAAATTGACTTGTCCGTTCCAAGTCATGAGTTGGACCATGTGTCTTGGGCGAAGGCTTGGGTCACTTGGTTCCTAGAGTAGGGGGCACTGCGTAAGGCTGGTGTTACAGAACTGCGAAAACCCCTCGTTCACGACAGTGGAAGGATAACAAGTCGGGACTCCATAGGTCCATATAATCTAGTGCGCTCTCTCAAATAAACAACAATCTTTTTCTTCCACACCGACAAATTGAAACACATCCTTTACATTTTGTATATAAACTTTTTAGTTCAGCGTGCATCAAAATAAATTTATGACGACATTTGTTTGCATTTTTATTTAATGTAACGATGGATTTTTTTCTCTATTATTTTAACGAACATTCGATAAATCATATTTTATACCCATTCTAACCAGTAACATATTGTAACTATAGAATAGATGACATAAAAACCAAATTATCAAATATAATATATCATTAACATGTATGCTTTGTATTGACCAAAATCATTAGCTTCTCATTTCAAGCACGTTGTTGAACTAAAGGATTTGGTTTCAAACACGTTCGAACCAACCAGTACTAGAGGTGTTCATGAGTTGGGTTGATCGGGTTAAATGAATTTGAACAACCTAACCTAATATTTGTAGTTTGAAAAATCTCAACTCGACCCAAACCAAACCAAAGTGCAATCCAACCTAACAGAAACTGTATGGGTTGGTAGGGTTACTTGGCTTGGTCGAGTTGATATTTTGGTACATCAAAATGTTCTTCTAACTTTGAAGATGTTTTCTATACGCATTCCTTTTTTATCACCAATCATTTGGTACAACTTAATTATATCTTGTTCAACTATTTTTCTCAATTTGCATATATATATATATATATATATATATATATATATATATATATATATATATATATAG